GGATCACTCCTGTGTAGTAGCAAGATTTCATAAAAAATACAGAAAGCAGAAATAGAAAAGTTCATAATTGTAGGTTTCGTACAATTTACTGCCATTTTATGCCTGGTTTATATTCACTGTCACACAACTGGAATAATGTAAACAGTCCATGTTGGCCAGATGTAAACCAGGCACTAGGTTACTGACTACTGACTACTGACCTTGTTCATGTATGAAGAGCACAGCGTGCAGCATCTCCTCCCAGTAGTGCAGCAGCAGCGCGGGCGGCAGCGCGGCGCCGCGGTCGCGCAGCAGCGACGCCAGGTCCGTCTCCCCCGCCTCCAGTATCATGCGCAACACTTGGTTGCTGCGGTCATATTCACTAAAACAACATAATTACATTAATTATATACTTTAAATAGATTTAATTCAACTAATTTGAATAATTTAAGTAATAATCACTATCATATTTTTTTATACATTGGGTTTAAAATTGAATTTCAAATACTCACTAATCATACAATCGTATAACTCGTATGGAGTCCTGAAGTTCCCGCAGTAGACGCACCTCGTTCACATAGCCTTGAGCCAGCTCCTGGTCCGAACCGAGGTATACAGTCTTCATCGCATATTCACCTGTTGTGCCCAACTCTACCACCTGCAATGCAATATTTATTACCCATGTGGGGAAGGTTCAAAATACACAGACAGCACCCTGCGCTTATTTGCTCAGTTTAAATAGTTAACATGTAACAATATCAGAAAATCGGTTTAAATATAACAACGAATTGTGAGATGGGTCAATAGATTCATTATTCACTCCCGTCAAAATGGGAGTGAATAAGAATAGTTCTGCTGTTATATTTAAATTAGAGAAAACATTTGAAATAAATATATACAACACATATAATGAACAACTTACTTTGTAAACTTCACTGGAGCCGCCAACACCTAACTTTTTAAGCAACAAATATTTTTTATCTTTAACTTGTATTGTGTTAAATGTTACTTTAGTGTTATATCCCTTCACACCCTCTGGGTATGATGGGGTGGGCACACACGGGACAGGCATCAGCCGCCTATTCATTGGTGTTTCCGGGACTGGGGCTGAAATAGGTACCAACACTGGTTGAGAAACTGAAGCTGAAATTGGAGTAGACACTGGTGCTGGGACCGGAATTGGTGCTGGTATTGGTGCCGGAGCTAACACTGGGATTGAAACTACAGCTGAGACTGGGATTGACAATGCATTTGATGCTGGGACTGACACTCCGGTTGATGCTGGGACTGTCTTAACAGCTGATGCTGGGACTGAAGTTACTTTTGGAGTTGAAATTACTGAATGTGGTGCTGGAACTGCAGCAGGAGTGTGTGGCGCTGCCGGCGCCGGTGCAGGTGTTGCAAACAAATGTGCTGCCCTCTTGCCGGGCTTTGTCTGTACTTCATCTTTGTTTTCACTAGAAAATAATTCACATCTGACTTTATCTTTTTTATTTTGTATTACATTTTGTACAAGTGTTTTCTTCTGACTTTTCCGTGAAGAGCCAGGGGTGTAATGGCGAATTCCAGATTTAATTTTCGGCGTTGCACTTTTAAGTTTCTGCTGTTGTTTTAATGCTTCCGGAGTTTTTTTGATAGCTGTATGTATTTTTTCCTGCGTTTGTACATTTGTTTGTTGTGGAGTTAAGGCGGAACGTTTAGTCATTTCTTTGGATGATCCTTGATACAGTTTAGCATTTTTATTCACACTTTGGATAATCCTATTTTCTTTATTTGGGTTTGTTTTACTTGACTTTAACCAGTTTTCAAAAGTATTTTCTTTGTTGGTAGACCGTAATTTTTTATCCGATGTGTAGTTGGTTGGTTGCAATTTATGTGTCGGAGTCGTATACTTTGGAACGTTGGGACTTTTCTTAGCAATCGTTTCACAGTCTGAATCATCACTGTCGCAGGATGAAAAACTAGAATCCGGTGTAAAGTCCTGTGTCTGCAAAGGCCATAAATTTGCAATTAACGTCGACATGGGCATCGGCGCTAATTTGATGCTATTGATACTGGATTCCGTGTTTTCCGTCATGGTTTCCTGTACTCTTAGTTTATTCACCGCACAAATCTCACTACAATTAACACTTTTAATAAACTTTTAGTACAATAATGGAAAGAAAACATTTATGAGAAAATTTCAAAACCTCATATATTTACAAACCGTTGAAAAACAATTTGAAATATGATCAAAGATTAAGTTGTCATTTTCGACCAAAGACTAACTGTCAAAGAGTAAACACGTACTCCGTAATTTGGTTTACTGAACTTAAAAAAAGAAAACCAGACGCTCAAAGAGCACGAAAAATAACCTTTATTTTAATATTTCCAATTTTATACAAGTACACACATATTTTTTTACATTGCGTAGGATAACAACTAACCAACCAACAAAATGTTAACAACCGTAAATCCATCGCGAGAAAAATATATTATTTTCAATAAAACTCTTTTTACTTTTTTATATTCTATATTTCATTTGTGATGAGAATTGATATAAATATTTACAAAACTAATAAATACTGATTTCATAGATAAAATATTTACAAAGCAAGGTAAATATATTCCTTAAAAACACTAAAAAGAAGCTGCTACAAAGTAGACATTTATTCTTCAGTAGACTTGGTGGGATATCTGCAGTCCGGGGCGTCGCACTCGCACTTCATGAACTTTGACTTGACCGACCAGAATTTGTCACCATAGTCAAATCTGTAAAAAAATAAATAATATTAAATGTATAAGCCGACAATGATATTTGACTCGGTGGACATAAATGAAACTAAATTTTGGTAGCGCACCGCCCCCCACTTTTCATGCAATTTTTACTTTCATGTCGACATACTTTTGGACTATAGAAGTTTTGTATTGAACAAGTATCGAAGAGGAACTGTAGGCGAAAGACCGCATTAGAAAATAAATAGTATTTATGTTCGCATATAGATCTGCCCCTTAGACAAGTAACATTCGTATACATTTTGACACATTTTGTCGATTCTAATCAAAAGACACTTTGTCTAGGGGGCAGGTTCTTTTAATTATTAATCTTACGTGAGCTCCTCGCCCGCGGATATATCTCTGAGCGCGAAAAGTGCGACGTTGGGCAGTCGCAGGTCGCGCACGTCCGTGAAGACGCG